GTTAAACAAATTTAATAATTTCTATCTATTATTATTCTACTTAATATATCTGCTGCCTTATTATCACTACCTTTAATATGCTCGAGTTCTATATTAATTCCTGTATTTGTAATTCTATCTATAAAATTTAACCATCTTCTTCTACTACTTCTTTTTGAATCTATTTTCATTTTATTAACAAAAGAAACTATGGTTACACAGTCTGTTCTTATTGTTATTTCTTTCTTGGATATAATAAATAGTTCAAAACTATCTAGTGCATAATTTATGGCTAGTAATTCTGCATCTATGCTACTTAGATTTCCTTTTTCTTTATAATTTCCACTATTGTACCTACAAATTCTCTCTGTACTTTTATCAGGTTAATGCTTCCTGTGGTGCTATAATTGTTTCTTGATTTTCTAGAAACTTATCCATATCCCATTCGAGCTAAATGTCTAGAATGTTATAAGAAAGCATGTATTGAGTCTTCCATAAGTTCTTTTATATGACTAAAATCTGAATTATCTGAATCATTATCTTTTTTAATAGTTCCTATTCTTATGTTATGTTCTTGATCATAATATAAGTATTCAGATTCTGTAATTATCTTATTAAGATACATTTGATCTTCTAATTCTAATAATTCTTTATTATCTAAATTCATTCCTAATTCTTTTGGATAAATTATTCTATCATTTTCTTCATCTATTAATTCTGGTAGAGTTTTTATTTTTTCTTTTATTTGTTGGACTAATTTTATGTCTTCTTGGTTAAAAAATTTTTGTCCTGTAAGAGATGTCTTTGCATATAAAGGTCCTGCAATTTTTCCTAAATCTTTTATAAATGGTCTAGCATAATTTACTAATCCTAAAAATTTTTGGATTTGTTTTAGGTCTTCTAATTTGTCTGAAAATTCTAAAGCTTTCTTAGCAATAAGAGGTTGTAACTTAATTTTACCTTCTCCTATATTAACTCCTAAAAAATCTATAAATTCTTTAAATAAAATCATTTTCTTTTTACTGATTATTAAACCATATTTAATAAACTCTGAGAATACTATTTGTAAATGTCCCCTATGTTCTTGTTTATTTTTACTGAATACTAGAATATCATCTATGTATACTATTACAAATTTACTATGTCTATTAAAAATACTTTCCATTTTTCTTTGAAAAATACTTGGTGCATTCTTAATTCCAAATGGCATTACAAGCCACTCAAAATATCCTTCTGGGCAGGTAAAAGCTGTCCACTTAATACTTTCTGGATGCATTTTTACTTGCCAAAATCCTGACTTGAAATCAAATTTACTAAAAATTTTGCAGTCTTGAATTTTATTTATTAAAACTGTCTTGTTTGGTATGTTATAAACATCATCTATGGTATTATCATTAAGTCTTTTATAATTAATAACCATTCTGCTTTTTCCTCTAACAATTTCTGAGTGTTTTCTAACTATAATTAAATAGACCAGTACAATATAATCAAAACATAGAAGAAATTATAGATCCTCAACAAGATTACCAAAGATTTCAAACTAATGGTTTAAGAATCCTTAACCCAAAAATATTATATAATAGAGGAATCTTTGAAATAAGAACACAATTTTTTAGACATAGTAGAGAAGTATCTGTCCAGTGTATAGGAAATCAAGTAAGAAAATTAAATTTAATATCAGAAAATTCTAAGAAAGAATTAAAAAAGAAAAACTTTAGATTTATGCATCTAGGATTAATAGTCATAGGAATAAAAGGATTAATGAGAAAAAATTTAGGATTTAAAGTTTTAGTTACTATATATGATGAAAGAATTAATAATATAGATAAAAGTATGATTGCAAGTACAGAAGTAGATATGAATAATAATAATGGAATAATTTACTGTAACCCAGATTTTTTATTAACTATTAAAGACTTTTCAGATAAAATTAAAATAGAAATTCAGACAAAAGGATATGAAGAGGTAGACAGTGGAGATAATTTGTTAATTAGTATAGGATTTTTAAGAAGATGCTCAAATAATTCTCAGACAAAATATAAAATGTATATAGATAAAGTAGTAAATTTAATGAGTAGTAAATGAATTAATATGGTTAAACCTAAAGAATACTTATCAGAACAATTAGCAGGACTAGAATGGGATATGGATAAGTTTCTAGAAAATCAAGAAACAATTATAGCACCGCAGGAAGCATTAACCTATAAAGATGTTCATGGAAGAACTAGTTTAAGATTTTTAAATTATAATCAAGTACAAAGACAGAATGACTTTGAAGAAGAAACTAATCCTGAAGAAGAACAAAATGAACCATTTCAAAATCAAGTCCATTTAGAATTAATAGATGAAGAAAATGATAGAATAATTTATCCAAAAGAATTAGGAATGAATTTAGATAATAAAGAATTATTAGAATTAGAAGATCAAATGTATCTTAATAAGATAATTACAGAAATTGAATACTTATATTATGATCAAGAACATAACATAAGAATAGGAACTATTAAAGAAGATAATGATTCAGATAATTCAGATTTTAGTCATATAAAAGAACTTATGGAAGACCCAAATACATATAGAACTTTTAGTGATACTCCTTTTGATAGAACAGTTAAACATGAAGCAATGATTTATAGTGGAGGATTTCCTCCAAGAGGAGCCTATCCTTTATATAATAATACAGAAGGAAAATATATAGTAAGAGTAAGTGAAAGACCCTTAGAAAAAAAAATAGAATTTCAATCAGATCATAAAGCACAGATTCTAAATATTACAGCACATGATCCACAAACATGGAATAATGTTATAGATGTATGGAAGAATACTATAATAGGACATTATATTAGAAATTTTCAAGAAATGGAAACTTTAGATATGTATAGATACTTAGAAACATTTTTAGGAGAAAGTGTAAAAGCAATGTGGGAAGCATTTAAATTAGAAAAGAAACAATTATTTGAACAATTAGTTAGCATGGGAAGTAATCCTTATAATTTTGTTAATAAAATACAGATATTAATAACATGAGCAGATCCTAATTCAGGACATATGAGTATACAAAGAAAAGCTATGAGAGATTTAGAACAACTTAGTCTTTATAAATGGACTAAAGGAAGATATGTTAAGAACTTTTTAAATGAATACCATTATTTAACTTCAATATCAGGAAATACATTTAATCAAGAAATTGGTAATAAGTTATTTCATAAATTACCAGGACCATTAGGATTAGAAATTACAGATAAATGGAATAATTTACTAGCCGTAAAAGAAGAACCAGAAAAACAATGGAGTATAGGACAAAGAATACAACATGTAATAAGATGTTTAGAAGATAAATGTGTAGAATTACAAATTCAAAAACAACTTAAAAAGACAGATTATAAATTTTGCAAAGATATTTTTACTCCACAA